ATGAAACCTAGTTTATGCAAATACAGCTTTTAAGCTTGTTAAAGTGAAGAAACATATTAAATTCTTAATTTTAGAGCAGCACTTAAAATTTTAAGTACGAGATGTTCTTTAATGTTCAACAAATGTGACCTAATTTGTAAACAAGCTCATTTGTTCCTCAAATTAACCGACACAATAATAAAAAGCATTTACAAAAGTCATTCATTCAAATTGTTGCTGCCAGATGGAAGGATTAACATTTTATTTATTCGCCCCAACAAAATAATTTCCTTAATTGTATTATTAACAAGCACATTCTTGAAATCTCTCCACGCTTCAATTTGTTTTTTCTTAGAAGAACTTTTTTTGTTCTGAAAAGAAATGTGAAATGATACTCAATGCTATGAGGCTTTATGCTGCTTTCCGAATTTAGTAATACATTAAAGAAAATTATTCATCATTATGCCACATTCCTTTATTCAATGTTATTGTCTGTATTATTGCGTGAAAAATCCATGAAATATTTCCTATAAGCGATGAGTTGATGCTTTTTTGTATAAAACTTTATTTTTTGTCTATTTACGACGAAAGAATTTTATTTCCAATTTTCAAACAATAAATTCCCATCAAGAAAAAGAGAGGCAATTATTTACGGTTGTTGGGGAGTCTCATAATTTCAAAGTTCTTTCGATAGCAATCTAAGAATGTTTTTATGTAAATAACGATGCTTAAAATAGCTTCAAATACCTTACAATATCGTTACTTGTATTTTGCTTGTTACAATGAATGAAAATGTTATCCGAATATTTCCGTCTCTAATCTTATCTCATCTTTAAATAACTGGGGTTATACATAAATGACGTACATTTATAAAGGTTTAGTTCAGTGTTGTCCAAACTTTTTTCAGCAACGAAACACTTTGACTTTAGATATTTTTTCACTGCACATCTAAGGACGTCCTACGACACACCAGAGTATCACGGCACACAGTTTGGACAACACTGGCTTAGCTAATAGTTTTTCGAACTTCTCGGTCTTACCCGAGGCACAAAGCCCCTTCATATCTTATGGAGACACACAGTGAACACATTTTATCTTTTAAGAACTTACTAAGAATGCCACTGAGAGAAAAAGTGTCTAGAAGAAGTCAAATTTGATTGAAGAAATGTGTACAATAACCGCAATAAACCTTTCCTTCCTTATCCACTTTAAAATTGAATTTTTGATTACCAAATTGAAGTTAAGTCTTATCCTCATCCTACACACAAAAATTTCTCTCCGGCTTTTTCTTGTCTTCGTTCAATGAAATAAATAGAATATTGAAAAGTTTTAGCAATTTTGCGGTTTTAAAGCAATACATAAAATTTTTCCTTCCCTCTCCGTAAAGGTTTGAGATAATTTTGCTGTTGAAATTGCTGAGCTAAATTGTTTTTGAAATATTGCTATTATTGTTAAATTTATTTATTGTTGAATTTTCTCGGATTTTATTGAATAATTGCGAGAATATTATCGGTTTTATGATTTGAAAAGTTTTCCGTTCTAAACAAATAAATAATAAATAAATGAAAAATTTATGTGAAATTCTCATGAACTGTTTGACTAAGCGCATCTGAGATTTAAATGTCTCAACAATTTATGACTTTTGATATTTTGCATTTCAGAAAAATGCTATGAAATTGTCTAATAACATTTTAGTTGGAAATCAAGCTAGAATCCTAAGAATTGAACAGATACTGCCTTTCGGCTACAGAGGTCTTACCTTTAAATCGGCTTATTCGCATACATATGAATTATTATTCCTAGATTTTACCTTGTCACGACATCACAATGTATTTGAGTTTTACGACAATATAAGAAGTGCTTACAAAACTCCATGGATCTACCAATGATCTTTCAACTCGAAACTTACGCAATAAATTTTAGATAAAATTGCATAATATATTGCCTGATTTCTCACTTAACAGTCCACAATCAATAAGTTTAAAACTTATCATTAAGCTTTAAATCAAGAAGTCAAAGTGCCTTGATAGCTCAGTTGCCAGGGTACAGGTTACAAAAGTTGGTGTTGAATTTGGACACCCGGTTTCAAATCCCACTACCAGCCTAGTGATTTTTCAGAAGTTTAGATACTTCGGCTTCTCAAGTACTCCAGTTTAAGACGTAACACTAAGAATTAAGCGATAGAGATGTATGTAGGAACGGGTCAAGAATTATGTAGACAGAATGAGAAAGATACGAGAGCCGCAAATTCACCAACGAGGGCTTTTACTGGAACGGACTTGGAGACATTGTAACCAGATGAAAATTGGAACGAGATCCGACATGAACATTGGTTCTAAGATCTTAAAAGTTTTTAATTGGCTGCTGGACACACAACTGCTTAGTGAAGATTATGCGATTCATACTGAGCCAGTGTACATAATATAGATTTAAGAATTATTAATACTAAGAATAAAATTGGAGCACTTAAAGGTTTTAGTAACACTATTGCACAATTTGCAAATTGTTGAAAACTCTTGAGTTGAGGTTGTAAAATATTTACTATATTTACTTAAAATTCAAAAAAATCCTAATACTAAAATATTTTAATTGAAATCACAATAGTTCATCCCAAATTAAAACAAAGGACATAATTTGAATATTGACACATTTCCTTTTGGAATATTCATTAAAAAATAAATATTGAACAATTTCATTGTGATTCTAAAATAAAAAGAGCATTATAGCTATGCACATAACATTTTTTTTTTTTATTATAATCTAGATATTGAATTTTATTTGTTCAGGAGCAAAAATAAATAAAATCTCATGAAAATGAATAGACGAGAGAACAAAAAGTGGGAAAAAATAACAAGCAAGCACATAAAATTTGACAAGAAACAATTCTCTAAGCTTCAATAAAACATTCGATAGAATGAAAATTGAATATTTTTTTTATGAGGAATAAAAAAGAATCTATTTGGCAATCTAACACCATACATAACAATAATAAAATACAATTTACCATGATGATGAATAAGAAAATTTGCATAACGAACTTCGTCTTGCAATACTGAATCTGAATCTGAATCTTTTGTTTGCCTTTAAAATCAAAATCATCTCCATTCATTTTTTGTTACCATTTTTTTCTTTCCATTTTTAAAAGTGATTTTGCACTATTAGCCATATCTTGCAAAATGAAAGAAGCAACTTTGCTTGGGAAATGAACTCACTGAACAGTAAAAAAGCAAATCGTTTCAGAGGCAGTGAAGGGTAAAGTCCTGCAGAATAGCTTAATAGCATTGCAAACTTTGTCTTTTTATGCATATCCTCAAAATCAACCAGCACTTTTTTTTCTCCGTTCATTTTTTTTTTGGTAGATAAAATACTGCTGTTTTTGCAATAAATTGGTATATAAAAGAGAACTGTCAATAATTCAATGTTAAGGGTCAAGAATAATTCATTTTTAAACGTATTTACTCCCTTTTGTTCTGAAAATTTATTTGTCTGCCGTGCCTTTAGAGTTTCAATATTTTTTTTATGTCTGAAATATTTCTGCAAATTGGATATAAAATAACATTTCATGCTTATTATGAAGAATAACCTCCTCTTAGCTAATTATATTATTCAAAATGAAGTTGAAGACTTAACGCAAGAAAGAATTATAATCCAAATGAACATGGTACAAAGTATTATTTTATGCAAAAATTTTGAAACTTTTGCTTCCATTGTTTCCACGGTGATTCCATTTACATAATTTTTAAAGCAACAATTCTCTTATAAGTTGTTCAAAAATGACGTATATCAAGAAATTACCAGTAATCTCATTAAAATCAAAAGTTTCGTACAGTATCATAAAGTTTCATATCATCATGACTACAAAAATGGCAGACATTATTCGCTAATGAATCCCAACTCATTCAGGAGACTATGTTATGCTGTTTACTGAATAATATTCGGTGTAATTCTATATCATCTTATTAAGTTTTATTATTAGTAATAAGCACAGCTATTAGTAATATTCATTATTGAAAGTTCACCGGTGCGATTGACAGGTTTCATATTGATCCTGCAAACATGTCTTGATATAGGTCAAATGTAATCTAAACCTTTAAGCAATTTAGTCCTCAATACATCCCAAAATGACATGATTACACCTTTAATGTTATCGATAATGATCATCATAACATTCAGCATAAAAGTATATGTGTTTAGTAAAAAAGAAAAAATAAGAGGAAGAGAATCGATAATTTTTCAATTACCTTTTATCGATTTGCAAAATAGACTGGAACAAACATAAACTACGGGCGAAGGCAAAAAAGAAATTGAGCCAATAAACTAATGTATATTTTCACGGGCCATTTGCTTCAGTACTATAAATTGAAATAAAACTTAAAAAGAGGGAATATAGAGAATGTGAATGTGAAAGAATAAGAAAATCAATAGTGATGGTCATTATGAAAGAAAAGCCAGAGATATTTACCCATAATATGCTTATAAGCTTTACTCACTCATTATAATTTTGCACAATATTAGCACAGAAAAATGCTTTGAAGCAAGTTTTAGAGAAAACAATTTTTTTGTCAGGATGCCACACACTTGCATCTTGTGGATGAAAAGGTTTAATCTTAAGCATTTCAAGCGTTAGCATAGCAAGAGCATAGGTCTGATGGGGTAGTAAAAATTATCCTTAAGGGTTTCAAAGCAAGCTTTGTTTTGCGTAATTATTCATTTCGAACCTTCTTACATTGAAAACCACAACAACACTTTTTACACCAAGTTTCATAATCCTTTTAACTGGAAATAAATTTTCTTCAAGCAGTTTAAGCTCTTTCCCATGAGCACCTTTGAATTCGTAAAATCCAATAACTTTTTCCTTTGCTTATCCTTTTCCGACGTCTTTGCCTTAATTGTAACACTGTGAAAGGGTAATTTTTTGAAAGCAGAATGAAAAAAGTTGATTATTAATTAAGCTAATGGATCTCATTTCTCAACATCTAAATTTTTTCCTTTAATCATTCATTTTCATTTATGTTTTTCTTTCTGTTCTTTTCATTACAGTCACAAATGGTCTACAGAGATTTTCAGAGCAACCAAAATACACAGAAGTAAATCCAAATCAGGATGCTTTACTTGTATGTAAAGTCATTGACAGACGAGGCACATGTTCGTGGCAAAAGGTTAGTTGTTATCTTTTGAATACAAAAATCTTTCAACATTTATTTTTCATCTTCCTGTATTAAGGATAATAAACCAGTAGGAATGTACCCAAAAAAATATGAGTGGGCCAGTGGTGGTACAAATACAATGGGAATGCAGTCACACTCGGGTGATTGTTCGATATGGATTCGTGCAGCAACCCTTGAATTTGACGATGGGTTTTGGGAGTGCCAAGTTACAGCAAGTGATTTTACAACACAGGATGCATTAACAAGTCAACCTGTTAGATTAGTTGTACGAGGTTAGTATTATATAAGTCTGTCTAATGTGCTCATGCAACCATACATAATCGAAAAAAATGTTCCACGATGCTCGAAGTAGGAAAAAAAAGGTCAACATAAATTATCCACGCCAATAATAATTTATGACGTGTGGTTAATTGAATTAAGGCCCATTACAATTTATCCATCTCTCTCGCATTTCTACTATGGATGTTCAAATATTTAACCAGTAATATCATTTATTTACACACGCAAAACAACATTCACTGTCACATTCTTGAATCCACATTATTATTTATGGGAATCATTAAAAAATTGAAATTTTAATGCGAACAAATATTAACATTAATAATCGAATGTCATCGTTATTTTAAAATGTTCGTGCATATATACAATCACAAAATATTATTCGTCATTTTTTGTGCAAACTTCATTGACAATAAAACAATCAAAATGCATAATTTGTAATTACAATAATAAATGAAGTCCTCTGATCACCGTTTAAATATTTGATTCTCTTGGATTCTGTGACAAAGTTTAATTTCCCAAATGTAATGGACATAAAGCGCATTTTTCATATTAAAAATAGATTTAATGTTTTATAGAAAGAGCGAAAATTGCGAAACAATAGCTCATTATAAAATAAAATTTGGCAAAATGAGCTAAACAGGAAAAACAAGAGAGAATGAACATTTTCATAATAAATTACTACACATTGTGGTTCGTAAAAGTGAGTCAATAATTGCAGAGCATTTATCAAATAATTATATGCTGATTTTTCTTTTATTTGCATTAATTAAAAATTATTTTAATTGATAATTGAAAAATTGATGAAACATGTGTTTTATGTATTCAATTTTCATTTATATAGTCGCTCCACAAAAACCAAAACTTGAGCACGAAGGACAACACATTTTGCCAGGTAACAATGTCACAGCAGATTCTGGTGCTACAGCAACGGTAAAATGTGTGTCGCATTACGGTAATCCACCTGCTGTCCTCAAATGGTTTCTTGGGGATCAAGAAATAGCACCATTACATCCGCAAACGAATGCGACAGAGCCTGATAATCCTAGAACATGGTCAGCTGCATCTGTTGTGCAAATACCAGCAACAAAGGAACGTCACGGAATTCCACTTAAATGTTTAGCATTTCATGAATATTATTCGGCACGAACGGTCGGCGTTGAAGCACGAATGGATGTTAGATGTAAGTCCTTTAATATATAATTACTGACGGAGCTTTACTCACTTTCATTTATCTCGTGCTTATAAGCACACCCTTCCAATTTCACTTTTTTTACTCAGTTCATTCATTCTGAATGTACAATGTCGTGACTGGAGATTTACACAATGAGAGATTTTTCATTTCCACTGTGTACTTAACGTGGAATCTTTGACATTGACACTCCTCGTCGTTTCCTCGTTTTTTTTTTGCTTGCTTGCTGCTCATTTAAAATTGAGCATTAAATGTTTAATTTTCATGAGCAATTACTGTTACGATTTTGTTGTCTAATTAATTCTAGTTACATAATCAGTGCGATGTTTGTTCTGATTGTGATGCGGAAAAATGTAATTTCAGATCGGGAAATATGATTTTAATTAAGCGAATGATATTGCTCTTGAAAATGCACTTTTATGTAGCTTGAATTAATTTTCTAAAACTAGAAATGAATTTCGTGAAGTTCGACAAATTTTCGTAGCTATCATTTTGAGTTATTTAATGAAGTACTTGTTGCAACTTAGGTTGTTGGCTTTGTAATTTAAAAAGGTCAGTCATCAGAGAATCATAAAAGCTTGTTTCAGAAACCATGTGGAGTTCAGATCTCTTTAAAGTTTGACTGTTTTGTTTGTTTTTTTTTTTTTTTATTTCTGAGTATCACACAAATGTCCAACGTTATAAATGAATAAACCCAAAAACATCCCACAAATTAAGTCAGGGTGGTCCTTATATCTGTGTTCAGAAATCAAAAGGTACCTTATTTTCTCGTTAAATTTCAAAATTTGAATATCTAAACGCACGCCATAAAAATATATATTTTTTTTGGAAAATTCTCATTTTAAGAATTAATTGACAGCCTAAACTGGCTGCTGGGCACTAAATCATAATGACTAAAGCTTGATCAAGCTTTTAATCATAATCTAAACAAAGACTTAAACGTTATCATGGCAATTTTTAACAAACAAATTCAATGTTTATTTTTGAAAAATGTTTGATAGTGTTAGTGTAAATTCAAATTTTTCAAATTTTAACGGCAAGATTTCTGTTCGACATCTCTGAAAATTAAGTACCTATGCAAATAAATTTTCAAAACAGCAAAAATGCCCAACTGAAAAATTTATTCATCAATAATTTGCTAAATGTCAACAGATGAAATATTTTGCGTGGCAAAAGAATGAATTTTATATCTATAAAAGCATAAGAATAATTGTCTGTGTCAGAAAAGCAGAAAAAAAGGACAAGCAGAAGAAGTAGTAATGTTCTCATTATTACGATACTCGGTAACAATGGTAAAAAGTAGAGAAATTGAACGAATCATTGAGATGACTTTTGGAAAGATTGCAGACAATTCGATAAAGATAATTTCAAAAGGTTCTCCTTAGAAATATTTTTTTTTTGTTCTTCTTCAATGACTGAATGCTCCAGACCGAAGGAAATTCAATTCAATTCTTTCTCTTCTCTTCATCAGTTTGATGATGAAAAACATTGTAGAAAGATAGTAAACTTAATTCCTTCTCTGCTTTTCTTCACTATCAGAATTTCACAGTCATAATAACGGAAATATTGATAAACAAGTCTATTGAGCACCTTTCCTATTCAGTCTCTTTCCTTCCTTCAATGGCTCGAGAGTACTTTTTCTTCTTATTTAACTCTTTGTTTATCATGTACAGTCTTTTCCTTATTTTTCTCAGGTTGTTTTTAACATGATAAACTTTTTTTTCTATTTATTTTCCTTATTTTTTGAAGAACAAAAAACAAAAATAATTTTATAATTTTTTATTGTGCTACGTTCATAAATAAATACTCTCAATTGTGCTGCCATTTCATTCAATAAAATTGTTTACGTACTTATAAGCTTATTTGAGAGGGGCAATTGTTATTCTATAATAAGTATTTATTCAATTTGAGTTGCCATTTAAGGCATTATAAAAAAGGAGTTTTTTTTTGAGGTTTTTAAAGTGAAAGAGCATAGATATTTTTGATCAGTCGTTTATACATTTATCTAAAGGTTGATTCTATTTTTAATAAATTCATTTTTATCATATACATCAAATTGTGTAGGAGAACTGGAGAATTTGAATTCATCTATTTTTAAAAAAATTCAGAAATCAAGGACATAAAAGGTTTCATTCTTAGAATACATTACATAAATTTGATGCTAATTCTAGAGTTGCTTTCAACTTTACGTTATGTGATGGAGTCAAAAAACAATTGATGCATGCTTTTAAAAAAGTACAGCACTTAGTAACTTTATATTTTTTAATTTCTTAAGAATTGTGTAAAATATTTACCTCAATCTAGAAATCCCTAAAATGCAGCTACCCTAATATGCAGATAGTACTGCCAAGATGCAGATGGTACTGCTAAAGTGCAGATGAAATTTATTTTCCCTAAAATGCAGATGAAATGCTGTTGCTTTAAAAAAGGTATAATGCAGATGATTTTTATCGTATAAAGTGCAGATAAGATGCTGTCCAAATGTAGATCGTATAATTTTATTAAAATAAAGATGAAATGCTGTTATAATGTAGGTAATTTAACATTGGATATTAATTTTTTGGGCCCCGACGAACAAAAAAATTATTCGTGAGTGACGCTTTGGTTTCTTAAATATCTCCGAAACCACAATAGTGACAAATTTCAAAGTTATTATATCTTGTAAAAAATAAAAATTGCTTTCTTTTGACATAGAACTTACTTCCTAAAGTTAAGGCGTTATGTCAGAAAATCAATTTAATTAAGCGTCACTCACGAATATTTTTTGTGAATTTTGTTAAAACTTTGTCAGCTTTCATTGATATATCTACAAATGTATTTTTTTTAAATTCACACCATTTTCACGTGTGAATCTATTGGTTTTGTTCAGATGGAAACATCAGTTTTTCGCATTTTGTGAGAAAACGAAGTAAAATTGGTTATAAAAAGTCTCAGAAGAAAAGTTTGTGCCTGAAATTTTACATCATTTTCAAAAAACAGATTTCAAATTGGTAGTGGCATTGCTGAGAAAATCGCAAAATACGCTTTCTGTAAGCAAACAAACAAGCAAGCAAGCAAGTTAATCAGCAAGAAATCTCAATAACGAGACATCGTAGAAACTTCTAGTTTTTTACATTTGATCAGTGCTGCTCTATAGAATAGCTGTATAGTTTTTGGGCAAGGTAGGAACAGTCGTTGCTTCAGAAAAAGCAAAAAACTTTCCTTTCTTACGAATTTTTTAAAACAAAAGTTTACTGTGATTTTTATAAAATTAAACTATGGATGAAAAATGTTTTTAAAAAACTTTAAAGAATGCTCGTTAAGCGTTAAACCTCCAAACATATGCTGAGCACAGCTCAGCTGGTTCGTAAAGATTTATACTTTCAAATTAATACTGAGCTAAGCTTGGTCTTTCCACAAGACTTTTGATGGTACGGTGCAAATATATCCGCATTGGGTTTCTACCCGATACACTAGTTGATGTTATTAAAAAAGTTCAGGAAAACAAAAATGCATTTTTGAATACATTGCAAACTTTATGACTTTAAATTACTTTGCTACACGAAATTTTGATGTAATTAGCATGGAAGGGATTTAAATCATCTTTCCCAAGTGATTTATTTTTGATTTATGATTTAAATCATTTTATATGGGGATTTTTTTGGGATTTTAAATCACTTGAAGGTAAAAATTTGTATGGAATTTCTTTTTTTATTAACACGTATCAAGAAAAAAAGTCATCAAATATGATGTATTTTAATAAAATTATACGATCTACATTTGGGCAGCATCTTATCTGCACTTTATACGATAAAAATTATCTGCATTATACCTTTTTTAAAGCAACAGCATTTCATCTGCATTTTAGGGAAAATAAATTTCATCTGCACTTTAGCAGTACCATCTGCATCTTGGCAGTACTATCTGCATATTAGGGTAGCTGCATTTTAGGGATTTATAGATTGAGGTAAAATATTTAATTAATCAAGCTTATCTACTGTGAAAACATCACAGGGAAACTAAACTTAGCATGTAGCTAGAGAGAAGATTTGTTCTCCAATCTCAAATCATGATTTGAAAAATTTGAAACCTATCGCTTTGGCTTTGAATTAGGCCTGCTGAGTAAAATTTTTAAAATGAAATTCCAATTGCAGTAGGAATTTCACAAATCAATAAATATTTAAAGCATGTATACATTTTTAAATTTAAACCTCCCTACTAGGACCAATCAATTGAATCAGTTGCAGAAATGAAAGAAATTTATTCGATACAAAAGCTTCATTGAGTTATTATTTTTATGAGTAAAGCTCTTTATATATATGTAGGAAGATTGAGTCAGAGAGTCTAACACATTTCCATTTCACTTGTTTTATCCGTTTCCAAACAGATGCTCCCACAATAAAATTGCTCGGTGCACCACAAATTGATTTAGAAGAGGGAAAGGATAATCTAATACTGAGATGTGAGGCTGATGCTAATCCACCAGCAAGTATTGTGTGGAGAAGAGCAGGAAGGTCAGAAATTGCAAGTTTATCAGAAAGTCTCCAACTGAGACCTGTTGGACGTCGTGATAGTGGACTGTATACATGCCAGGCTCAAAATAGTGTTGGCACTTCAGATCAACTGTCAGTGCAATTGGATATAAAATGTAAGTGATATTGCAAGCTGACTATTTTCAATTTAATTTAATTTAATGTGCACTGCACAACATGAAAAGAAGGAAATGAAGAAATTAATTAAAAATATTTTATGTCCCACAGATCCACCAAGAATTTTATCAGCTGGACCAGATCGTCTTACAACAGCACCATTATTCACACCAGCTGTCTTTGAATGCGTTGCAGAGGGAAATCCTACACCAACATACAAATGGGTACAAAGGTAATAACATTTCAGACTGAAAAAAAAAACATAAACGTTGATTGTAATTATTGCCTTCGAGAAAGGTGCTTATGCTCACTCCCTAATACTTCACTTCACTCTTAATTCAAGAGCTTTTTGTGTTTGGCGAGGAATTATTAATGAAGCATCTTGAAAAACGGAAGAGGAAAAAAATTCTCTCTCAGCTCTTCTTCCTTATCCATATAATTAAATTATTACCTTATTTCCGCTAGAATTATCCTTTTTTGATTAGCATTTCTTTCCTTTCAGAACATTTTTCTCTCGACTCGCTCTTTTATTCAGCCTAAAGTGAAATAAAATAGTCGAGTAATGAAAAAAAGGAAGAAATTTTTAAACACCAAATTATGACTATAAAGATAATGTGCTACGCTCACCTTTTTCCTCTCGATCTCTCTCTCTCTCTATATATATATATATAGAGTGTCTACCTAACAATAAATGAATCAGGTTTATACCTTACTCAAAAGAAATTAAATCATTTTTTGAAACTTGAACGAATTTAGCGCATGCAGGAATTAGAAACTTTTCATGAATTTATTATACTTTAATGCTTCTTATAATTTACCTCTTCATTGCTTCTAGAAAAAGGTGAAACAAGCATTTGTTAAGGAAGTATGAAAGTTCATGAATTACTGTGGGTATAAAAATTATATTTTCTTAGAAATAAGTTTTCAAAGAAAATGGCATTCTGAAATTAATATTTTTTGGGGAGTCAACTGGATTATTTTGTTGAGCATTCAGTGGGATGACGTTCTAGTTACGAAACTCGGTTCGTGTGTTGGATGTAGTTTTGAGGTCTTCCTAAGTATACTAGAATATACTAGCATCTGGATGATTTCATTACAGCATCTTGCGTACACAAATTGTGACTAGGTACATTGCAGGCTTCATCAGGTCTTTAGACGTACTCGTGTCTTTTCAATGTGCAGAGCTTGTAAGTGATTCAGATCCCACTATAAACTGTGGGTCGAATGGGTATGGTACAATAGATTCTGTTTTTAATTTGAATATCAGTGCCTTCAGTTCAAAAGACTGGGCCCTCCATGCTTTACCTCTTTAGGGGTGAGACGCGCTGTATGACAATCAATAGCACAGATTTGATTGTTCGCGTTTTGACCAATTCTTCTCAAATTTGAACAATTTTTGATGATTTTTAACATATTCTTGTTAACAAGTTATGACATAAATTTATTCAGCCGTCAAGATCTTCAACTTTTGCATATTTTTGAGCAGTAGCAAGAACTTTCTCAAAAAAAAAATACTTTTTAATGTTAATCCCCAATTATAACTTTTTTAAAACCTAATTTCTTAGAAAGTTTATTATTCCATTTGATCTTATGATTCAAATTACATTTTGATCAAAAGATTTAAACCATTTTAATCAAAAAAGATGACATAATGGCATCATTAAGATTCAGAAAGTCAAACATTTTAACTCTTATCAATAAAGCTAATCAAAATAAAAAAGGATCCAAAAACACGTTTGATTCATTCTAAAGAGTAAAGCTTTGATATTCGTTTTAGTATTTGAGATTTCATTCCGTATGTCGTACAAGGATAAAGAAAAAAAAAATCATAAATTTAAATATATACATGAAATTTTCGTACTGTTTTCCATTCACATCCAAAAATCTTTTACAACATTTTTGTGCTTGTTTTCCCATTTCTGCTTTGAATGCAAAACGATGATCTGAGATGCGAGACAGTATAAGATAGGGATAGAAAGAGAAAAACGAAAAGGAAGATTATCCAATACAAGAAGTGCTTTACAACAAAACAGTTTTGTATGTTAGATCTGTATGCTTCATTCGTTCAACACAGTCGATGAATGTTTGCTGATTACACGAGAAGAAAAGAATATTGTAATGCTTCAATGTGCTTACATATGCTACTGCCTTCTCTCATTTTCCATGTCTCTCATTCATCTCATTTCCTAACAACGTTCAAAAAAAAAATAAAAATAAAAAAGCTTTTCACTTAATAATAAACATGGTAAAAATATGTAATGTTATCATTCCTCTAAACATCCATGTATGTACATACATTCATGTATAGTATTTCTCAAAGTATGTAATATAAAGTATCATTGAATAGGAAAGCATCATTATTGTTTGCTTCTTAATAGCGGCGTAAACAAAAATAAATGCTATACATGTGGAAATGGTAAGAGAATATGAATACACATGAAATGGTAATATTATGCGAATAAAAAAACCTCGAGAAACTAGGAAGGAAAATTCTTTTGATTATATTCTCACATCTATTTCCATTCATATTCTTGCAACCACTTCTTAACAATAGGAGAAGCTTTTCTTCTTCTCCTTTTTATTGTGCAAGCTTTTCTGCTTCTTCTTATGTCTTACTACATTTATTGAACATGGAATTCCAGTTAAACATTTCATTGGTACAGAAATACAATTTCTATGTCATATAGTCTCGTAAATACACATCACAATAAGTTTGCATAAATAGCATTTTATTGTATCATGTGTGAATAGAAGTGTTTGTAAAGTAAAGTGATTTAGGGGATAAAGATAGATGTGACGCATTTCTTTTGTCATTTCTTTCCGACGTGATTTATAGAATTTATTCTCTCGCGCTTTAACTTCATACTTTAATACTCAAGAATTGTTGTTAAGCAACAATTTTCCGTCTCTTTTTATGCAAGAATAGAAATAAATTTAATGCATCCGAAATTGAAGTTTTAATTGAATTAAAGCTGTAATCAACATGAACTCATCCAACTTTGTAATTTAATTAATGATATTACGCTAACTTTACGAAATATAAATGTGGGAGATTCCTTTGAAGTCTGAATGTAACCGCCTACGTTAATTTAAAAAAAATGTGGTCTGCTCTTTAAAAATGCTTTGGATTTAAAGGAATTTGGTAGCTTAAAGTCTGGTTTGTGGAATTTATTCTGTAACTGGCTTTTTCTTTTATTCCAAAAATCATAATGACTTTTGTGGTTTTGAATCTAGAGTATCTCAGGATGTACAGGATAAAATATTAAATGACAAAAGTAAGGATATATTTACAGTATGTTAAGGTAGTGATGATGCACGACTTTGACTAGGGCAGGTTCAGCTGAAATTTCTTAATGTATTCTACTGCATGATGTATTACTTGTAAACCTCTGCATCAAAAGTATTTCAATCAAATAAGCGAATATAATTTTAATTAATGAATTTTTTTTCGCACCAAATAATCCGACAGACAGTGATCACAATAAAAAGTGGAACAAAGGCGAGAACAATAAAGACTGTTGATGAAATGAGAGCTTTTCACATTTTCTTTTCACTTTTTAAGCTCGCTATTTTTTTTTTTTTTTTTGCTATGTGGAAGGGTTCTTCTTATTCTCTTTGATCTTTCACTCGTAAGCAAGCAAAGTACTATTTTCATACATAATAAAAATAACGAAATAAAAGTACTTGAATATATTTCTGTATGTAGAAAATGTTGTTCTTACGGTAAATGAAACAGTCTCCATATAATTTTCCATTCATTAAGCAAAGATCCTTAATGATGCAACACCTACATTTTCAGCATTTAGTAGCATTAAGCAACATAAAAGAAAATCATGCTGGTATTATTCCTTAAGTAAGGTAAAAATTCTCACAAACTTCATGAATAAAATTCTCGTTATTTTATACATCAGCAAACTTATGAATATTCCCAATTCTCATCATGTTAACATTTTTTGTGTATATAAATTATGGCTTGTCCTGAATACTTCGTATAATCTCAAGTATGAATGAAAGGAGGAAAGAAGCAAATTAAAGCTTATGAATAAGAATTGTACAAGAAATAGACTTTAATTGCAATTCTCATCTTGAGACTAACATTTTATTATTCTACTGTGTAATATTCTCCTTTATAATCTTACGACTTCTCTGCATTTTAATTGTTTTTACATAAAATCTTCTTCTGTAAATTTCCAAACTTCAAATGAAAAGGATAAATACAAAAAAAAGGGTACCGAGGAATGACTAAAAAAGAAGAAAATGCTAAATTAAAACTTGTGCAAAATGATTTTTTCTATCTCATTCTGTATTTTATTTTTGCGACTGCAACATCTGTCACTGCTTGGGTGCTTGGAAAAATTAATTTGTTGTTCACTTCTGACAGCAAATCACAATGGGATGGAGATGGAATCAGAGAAAATTTAACATGACAAAGTTTCCCCCTCTTTCACTTATTTTCTTTCTATTGCTGTCTGCCTTTCTATACTTTTTACTGGCTTTATTGTATTTCTCTAGAGAGGCTGAAAAAGAGAGGAAAAAGGATAATTAAAAAGCTATTCTATGAACAATACAGAATACTTCTAGTTGGAGATGTTATTGCTCACTCTATTAATGCCCCCGCACATTCATACGTACAAAAAGTTTCTACCACATTATAATCATGATGAAAATGATGATAAAATTAACTTCTAGATGGATTTCTTTCTATTTTCTATCAAGAATTTTCTGTGCTTGTTGGATTGAAATGATATATGGTAGAGCAAGCTCATGCTTTTTCAATAGACTTTACTGAAGTGTTAGATGTTATTCATATTGCCGTCTCATACAACGATGGAAACCATTTATGATACAAAATATACTGACTAGTTTCAGAAATAATGATAAAGTCTTGCTATATGCCTTAACATGTGAATGAACAACTAACACTGCATTCACCTATTAACAATTCCTTCCTTACATAATATTAGCATCTAATTAGATCTAATTGTTACACCATTATGAATCTATTGTTTATGAAACATTTTTCTTTTTCTGTTGTTTCCCCCCTACGAAAAAAAAAAACATGACAACAGGAAGGAACGATGAAGAAAGACAATTCTAATTAACTCTTATTGAGATGCATGAATCAATTATTATTGCATTGTTATTCATATTTTTCACTTAATTAAGACTGTTTGACGTGATGCATAAATTCAGGATAAATCAACTGTAAATTGACTTGTCGGAGATAATTAAATATTTTTCTCTTCTCTTTTTCACCCCTAGAATTCCATCACAAGGCAGTGCATGGCTTGAGAGAGGTCTCGAGTCACGTCTCGTGATTGATAATGTAACATACGATTATCAAGGAGAGTATGAGTGTCGCGCCACTAATTATATTAATGGCCAACAACGTTCAACGACATCCGACCCAATTTCATTGCAAGTTGTAGGCGCACCACAAGTATTAAGGCCGGATTCATCGGGCTATCATGTATCTGTGAAACGTGGAGATTCGGCATCACTAACATTAGTCGTATGTGCTGATCCAAGACCGAGACACGTAGCTTGGGAATGGGGCTCATTAAGGCTAGAAGCTGGTGCCGGAATAGGTATATATATATGATCTCTACATAGAACATTCACATTGATTATGGTAAGTGGATGAAAATAGAGCTAAAGATGCATATATTGTACTAAATATTATGTAGGATGATTCGAAAAAATCAATAATGTGACGATAACACGTATTCTCTATTTCCATCTCACTTCCTCAACTTCCTTTTATTCTCTCTGTCATCGCACATTCATGCATTCATTTTATCTTCTCTTATCTTCTTATTTCTCCCATAGGTCGTTTTAAAGTAGATGAAGTTTTACAAGATAAACGTGAAGACTGCTACATAGCCACACTCCATATCAATCAAGCAGACATACAAGATGCGCGACCATACTATTTGGTAGTTGAAAATGAGCGTGGCACAGACCGACACTCAATCTCTTTAAAGGTTGAGGGAATTTTTTCAGGTATGAATAAATGCATAACTAACGACCTTTGAGGATTATCGCGCTCATTTAGAACATTATAAATATCCCAAAGAACTTAATTTTTCAGCAAGCGTATTTTCATTCGCCAAAATATGTATGCCTGACTTGAATACAAGAAAGCAGTGCTAATATCAAAAAATTACTTTCAAATTAATCCAATTAATTCCGTAAATCAGATGAAAACCCACGACAAAAGAGAAACAATGAAGAATAATAAAATTTACTGCGTGTTATGTCTTATTTCATTTGTTTATATTATGAACGAATTAAGAAATTTTTTAATGAAATTTGTGTGGGCAATAATGTCTCATTTTTTTATAAATCCTCCCAGCTAATTGAATATCATAAAGTAGTCTGGAAGGCGGTGCCTCTTTTTGTATACAAATAAGGAATGCTCGCTTAATAATGAGATATATCTCATTAATTTGTAAAATGTCAGAATAATTAAAATCATTTGATTCATTTTTTTAAAGCTGCTTGTTATGGCTTGTTAATGCTTTCTGAGAATAAATCAAGAATTCTAGGATGAAATCAAAAAGATAATAAGATTAAAGACGAAACGTGTAAAATTTTACGCAAAGCTACTATAAATAGCTACCCTTTGGCATCAACATACTTACACATTTTTCCCTGACTGAATTAAAATTTCGATTACTATTCTTATTATTATGACGAAAATAAATTGTTATACAACACAAATAACAAACATAGACGCTAAAACTTCATATCAGGAAGGGTGGAAGAAAAGAAATTTAAAATTTAAATTAATTGTTTTATTGCATGTTGTAAGTTATTCAGATTTTTACTCGTATAACTTATAAATTTCTTGGCAGAAAAATGGAAGCTCCCAAACCACAATTTGAGTTAAAATTTGGGACTCGACACCAATAATAACCTTTGTTAAAATAAAGAATGGAAGAAAATTCCATGATACAAGTTGATAAAGTCAAGAAAAAAAGTAATTCTACAAGGATTTGGCTTACTGTGAAGAAAATGGAACATAATAAGAAAATAGGATGAAGTTGATGATGATTTTAAAAAGGAAGAACGGCGAGAAAACATTTAAATTGTCTGGATTTTTGCTCATTATTATCGTACACGCTTTTTTGTGGGTTAATACTTTTTCTTTTGTTTGTTTAAAGACACAACGAGCATGCTAATGGAACGGGTTTCCTTTCCTCATTTTCATTTCTCATTATTTAAGTTCTAGTTGCGAGAGAGAAGGACATAGCAAATATTTGCACACCATTCTCATGAAAATGAGTGCGACGAAATAATATTAAGTTTTTTTGACAAAACAAACGAAGGAAAGAAATAATAATAATAACTAGCTACGATGTCGGTGTCGGTCACTTGTATTTAGTATAGCATGGAAATGAAAGAAAAGTTCTTGAAAGCTTCTTGAAAATTAATTTCACTGATAATTTGTTGGGGAACTTTGTTCAAGTGAAAAAGTGAAAAGAGCGTATTGTAATCTTCATGAAAGCCCCCATCGTGGAACCGCGGAAGTGTAGGAAAACATTTTAATCACGCAAATATTTACTGACATTTATATCAAAAAGCTCTAAAGTTATTATGGCATAAAATTATGATTATTTCATATCTCTTGATATTAACATTACCGCATAACCTTAATTGGGTCTTTCTTTACGTTTCAGTTTCATTCCGAAAAATTGATGCAAATTTATATTCAAGTTTATGACTGTGTTTGTGCGTATGCTTTTAACAAAAAAAAATAATCTACCAAGAACATGGTAAAGAAAAAGCAAACAACATTCATGACATAAATATTTTGGAAGCAAACGAAAGGAAATAAGATTGCTTACGCTCTAAATGGAATAACAATGTGAGAATGTTGACCTTCAGCCTCAATTATTAATTGCCTAATTGTTAAGGTTATTAGGAACGAAACGACATGAGCGTAAAAAAGTTGATGATCATTTAAATTTCTTTCTCATTAAAATTTACATCACCGGTAATTGATGTGTCGATTCTTTCGTAATGTTTGCGTTTTATTCTGTTTTACTTATTTTTAGAAAGGGACGAAGAAGAAATTCATAAAAAATTTAAAAACGAAATTCATTAAAATTTTAAACCATAATGATGAGGATTAAATTTGTTTTTGTAGGGAGTGTGCTTGTTAATATACTTTTTTAAATTAATGAATCCTAAATTTTCATTGAGTTTAGTGCTTAATTTAAATATTTAAAGGACTATACATGGATCAAATTTAAACATTTTAATGTGAAGAAATTTCAATTTAATGTTTGAATAATTTTTATTATTTTCATGTCAATTTGGCTATAGAGGTTTATAACCTGAGTGCCAACGCGGTAAATGTGGTCTATAAAAGATTAAAAAGCAATATTGTAAGGCAAAATTTTTGGTTTTAGATACTCAAATATGTATCAAATTGATATTTGATAATCTTGATCCATTTCAAATCAAACTTTCATTTACATCATTACAGCCTACATGAGAAATTGAGCATTAATATTTATAGCATTCATTTCTTGCGGGCGGATAAGCGTAAATGAATGCCGTTTATAAAATATAAATTCATAATCATGAGAATACAAGTGATTATTTTATGCTGTTAAAGTAATTAAGTTAATTTCACGTTAATTAATATTCAAAGAACTAAAACTCAATGTATTTACATGACAATTTCATGGATCAATCAAATTATTTTTAATTTGTTACATGTTTTTCCTATCTATAATTTAGAGTATTGTTTTCACAATAAGACATGCTTGATATTTTCTTTGAAATTTTCTTTTGAATGTTGCTATTGAAATAGCATGTAGGAGGTGTTGTAGGGAGTGAAGATAAATATATAGATTTTGACTTTTAGTTTACTCAGAAAAGTTTTAAAAATACGCATTCCTTAAATTTAACAATTTCAAGCTGATTTCCATAAAAAATAATTTCAAATGTCAATTTCTTCTTACCACCTTCTTAAAAGTATGAAAACCTTCCATATTTTCATTAAAATTAAAACAATTTTAAGCTTATGAACAAGAAAATAAGACAAAAAAAAATTTAATAAGCACAAGGAAGAACGAAAAAAAAATACTTTTTGGCTTAAAGACAAGCCATAACAAAACAAGTTGAACGTCTGTGTGGGATTGCCACGAAGTAATATGGGACAGAATAAATCCATTTCTGTAATGCTTAAATTTTATTCCACTGCTTGCTTGCCTCAAGACTACAGATATAACATAGCTAAGACGAAATTCCATTTCAAATCTCTAAAAAAAAATTTTTTCCTTCTCGTTTTTTTCATTTTAATGCAATTCCATTGGATGCCTTTTTATGTATGGATTTCATTCACTCACAAACTACTGTATTCGACGGCGGGCGTACAGAACCACTCGAACTGAGTTACTTACTTGGCATTGCCGTTGGAAGTCTAGCAGCTTTACTTATTTTATTATGCTGGTGCATTTATGCAATTCGAGCCAAGAAATGTTGTTTCAAAAGTGAGTAGACTATTTTATTGCAGTAAAAACTATATCCACGTGCTTTTATGCTTCTTAAAGACCATTTCAGATGAAGAAGAAAAATTGTTAAATTCACTCAACTAAATTAATTTTTCATGTTTTATTCTGCTTACAATTTCCTTTCCAGATCGAAACAACTATAAAACAGCTGAAAAAGATAGGTATGTACAGAACAAGAAGCAACAACGAAAAATTAGTGATACAGAAAGACACAGTAGTAGCTCGTAGTATGAGCTAGAAACAGTAACATACATGATATTCCATTAAGGTTGCCTTAAGCCTTAAAGCATCTCATGTGAAACACATTTTTTCGACGTATTCACCAAAATAATTTTCCCTATATCCTTTCCTTCTCCTTCATTCACAAATATTCAATTTCAATCTTCTACACTCTTCCCAATATACGATTAGTATATCCAAACATGAGCTGGCATAAATTTTTAGGCGTCTTTAAAGAGAGCATCAGCAACAAAAAAAATCAGCAGTTTCATTCATTTCATCTCCATCATTTGATGATTGGGAAGAAATCTCTACTTAGTATAATTTAAGGATGAATGTGATGTTCACAGCGTGATTTGAAAATTGTGTAGGACTTTGAAATGACTATTAGTTCATGAACCTCCTCTGAGTGAATGACAACATCTTTTTTTCGATAGAACTGTATTGAATTCTTATGAAAATGTTGCTTTGCAATGGATTTACAATCGAGCGCAGTTTTGTTGCTAAGAAAATACAAATACATGGAAGTATGTCTTTAACAGACTTCAATGTATGCCATAAGAATAAAAGTAATCGCTTCGATAACGATTTAGGCCCGCCGAGACATTCTATTATGATATAAATTTTTACACTAATATGAATACATCAATAAATATTCTCATGGTAATGAAACATGTTCAATAAAGGAAATTTTGTGTGGGAATTCAAGCGAATCGTTTACAACCGTTGGTAAAAATTTTCTTTTTCCTCATTTGATTTATCGCAGCTCCATGTTCGCATACATATTTTCGAATAAGCATTTCAATGAAATTAGCTGATTGACTCATAAATTTTCCGATCAGTAGACTCAGTTCACATCTATCGTTATCGCTCATCATATGTGAATATGTCTCAATATAAAGTCACAAAAGTTATTTCAAGCGAAAAAAAAAATACACTTCATCAACGAGATTCTTTAAGCGAATCTCATCATCTCCTATATCATAATAAAATAAATGGCACATGATACATTTTTTTCTGCTCGATACCCGTCTATTTCCGTCTCTCTCATGTTTACGCTTTGACAAATTACATCTAAAATCCTTCATTATTTATATCATATCATATTTCAAAGTTAAAAACATAAATAATATCCTTCTCATCATTCGACATATAGGCTTGTAACAATTTTCCTTCATTTGCCAATGCCACTAGTGCTGTTTGTCAACCATTTTATACCGTGCTCACTTGGATGTATATGATAAACATATATCGAGAGATTATGTGTACCCGGATAAATCTTTTTGAAGCAAGGCGTGAAAACTGAAGATATTAGTTGCAATTAAGTGGATATTTAAAGTCAGAGCAATTAAAGCTATAATGGCTACTTCCTAATAGAATTTAAAAATGAACAGTGAGTTTTCTAATGTCCCTAGTCTTCAATTCATATCTAAACCTTCCGTAGTTAAGGCTAAGGTATTATTAGCGGTTTCAACCGATATCAAGTACATTTTAGTGGTGACAATGCTAAATCATGTCCAAGGGTACGCAAAGAATAAATTACATTGTGAACATTTTTGATCATTTTTGATTCCTTTAAGCATTTTTTGATCATTTTTAAACATTTTTTGATCATTCTTGATCATTTCCGTTATTTCATGAGTTCCACACCCTTGATCATGTCACACAATTTAAAAACTCATTTCCTATGTAAGCTAATAATGCTTATAGTATCCAAACCCTGAATAATTCTCACATGCATTACAAATATATGAACCGTATATGCTCGATACGCATTAGAATTGAAAGGATATAGGATGAAGAAAAAAAATGTATTACTTCGTACGACACACAAATAAATAAATAAATTTTATTTTTAAAGCTTTGCCAAGCATTTGTTGTTGTGTATTGACTGTGTGTGAACGATGCTTTTAAAGTAGATTCAAAGAGCCATAAATTTTGCTATGTCACTTGGCGAAAATAAGGAAGGCAAAAGAAGAATAAGTGATGACTAAGAGAAGGACTTTTTTTAAATCTAAAGTAAGGGAGCAAAGATCATCTTTAAAGAATAATAAAACGAAAAGGAAAAGAAATCTTCTAAAAAGTACAACCTCACGATATCATGTCATATAAAAGATTTATAATATTTCATAGCAATTTCCTCCCCACATATATTCACTTCACTTACTTATATTTATTTTATTTTATTTTTTTTTTGCTCTCTCGCTCCTCATTCATGATGATACGTATTGCCTGATATTTTTTCATAATTTTCCTCTTCTCTGCTTGCCTGTCAAGTGCGTCAAGTGCTTCATAAGTTGCATTACACTGTAATATGTGAAAAAAAGGAATCATACTGTGAGTTGAGGGAAAGAAAAAGGGAATGTTATAAGAAAAATTGCTACAGCAGAAAAAAATGTTGTTTTCAAGTATTTACACTTGAAACGTGTCAGTGTCATAAACAGATATTATCATGAAATTGATATGAGATATAAAAAACGTTGGGTGAGACTCACAAAAAAAAAAGACCAAGAAGAAAAAAATGTGCAATAAAGTGGCAAAGTGTAAAAATGTGTCAGATTGCAGGACAAATGGAAAGATAATGTAGCACAGATAGCTTTCATCAGTGAGCAACAATATCGTATACTCATAAATATTTATGAAAACTGGTCTGTTGGAAATTCGCATTTCATGGGTAATGCTGTGCGAAAGAACCGTTAGAAAATGAGCTTTTGTATCTAAGCTCTGACTGCATTTTAAGCTTCTTGATATGTCCATAGATTTGCTTGATCTAAATGGGTAATTTCCTCGAACCTTAACATTAGCTTAAATCAGAAATCGATTATATTTCACTTAATATGATTATTTATTTCATTAATTTAACGATATTGCCTTACATACGGTAATGCACTGCTGAACAAAAACTTTTAATGGAACACGAATCAGGTTTCGTTTAATGAACAAAAGTTGTATGTCACAAATGCATTTCAAAAAAAAAATTGAGTCAACTACAGAGAAATTCTATCGCAACCTGGTACATCCCAGAATATTCGGTATCTCCATCAAGTACTTGCTATCAACAATACGTAAGAGCATCAAATTATTTATTTGGAAAAATAACTTTTTACGAGTTGAATGAAAGCAAAATATTTGCTGTGAATGGTGAACAGAAGTCAAGTGTCTGTATTCACAGAAGCATGGCAAAGCACTCTTATTCTCTATTTTCATACTCTCACTCGACAGACAACTCTTGCAATCTTAATTTGATTATATCCCACTATTATGCGGCGTCCAATTTTCGAAACATTAAATTTTCATTTTTACAGCATGGCTAAAGTACATTCATTCATTCATTCAATTCGAAAAATGTTTCAATTCTTTTTTTGGTAGTTGTTGTTGTTGTTGTTGTTAGCTATATTCCTTTCTCTATTTCAACCAGCAAAAAAAATTGTTGAAGTGAATCCCATGTAGTTGGTATGCAAACAAGCAAGGCAGGGAACTTTACAGTTTGCGTTATCAATTTCCGCTTTTCCAGTTATTTTCTCATGTCAAATCATAAACGAGCGAATAAAAAAGGTTTTTTATTTCCACTAACTGCTTCCCATTCCACCTTACATACACACATTTTTGGCTGCTATGCTATAGAACATTGAATTGAACGATACTGTCCGATCTCAGTTTCGTTTCATTTTTTTTCCTCTTTTTAGAATTTTCACTATGCATAGCATTATTTTCCATCATGAACGCTGATGTATCGCTGAGCTAAAATTTCACACACCCGCTCTCGCATAAAACCATGACAGGCATTCTATTTTTACCCCTTCCTATTTTATATGCATTCATAACAGCAGTGAAAATGCAAATGCTCATTTTTTATGCCCTTCATTCATCCCAATAAACTGCTAACTTATTGATGGTGCAACTAGAGATGAACAAAAAATTTATGCTGCTCCGCTCATGCGACATTTATTGACACAGAAAATGTCAGCTGCAAGAAAAGACTGATTTTTAACTTTTTCAATTTTTTTCTGTTTCATTTTTTCATTTCCGCTTAAAAAAATTTCCGTGTCGCAACAAAAACTGTAAATGCAGTGAAAAGGCTGATTTGAAACCACACAGTGATATAGGAGTGCCGCATCTTGATTCAATTTACACAACGCCAACAACAGGCTTCCATCATCACCATACAGGCAATGGATTACATCAGGGATCGCCCGAAGCAATGAAAGTAAGAATGGCTGCGATGGTACTATCACCACCAACACGAGTTTAGCAGGCACTTTTTAATGGGACTGATGATCAAAATCTTCTTCTACTTTCTTCTTCCTCCCCTCAAAATACCACCATCACTCCATCACTTCAGTCACAATTACATCAGTCCCAATCTAATCTTCTGTTATGTGACAATGATAATAGTTTATTAGCAAACGTAAGTGGTCATAGCAGTAGTAATAGTCATTATAATAATAATAAAAATAATTTCGATGATGACACTACAACTAATTTCAATTTTTTCTCAGCATCATCAGAAAGTAATTGTAATAATAGTAATAATAATAATAATAATAATGTTAATGTAAATGTTAATGAAAATAGCAATAACAATAATTTCAATTTTGCTCGCGTGTCACTAAGAACAATTAAGAATAAAATCAAATTAAATGCTTCATATTCACTAACTCTACTGCAATCAAATGCATCTAACGTGAGCTCAGCGAATAATAACAATGAAATCGAAGATCAATCGATAGACAACAAGATAATAAATAATTACAGTAAATCGATGTTTAGCAATAACCATGATACAATTATATACAATAACAATTCAATTGATAGCTGTAACAATAATAAAAATTTAATTAAATCGAAATCAATTATGGGATGCCTGAATGACGACGATCCGATGAGTAGTGTAAGTTGTAATATCACAAAAGACATGAATGATGATGATTTACCTTCGGGCAGTTGCGATAATCATCAGCAGCAACAGACTCGGTATAACAATAATAAAAGAAGTAAAATAAATTCAATTAGCCAACGAAATGAAAATCTGTTAAACGGCAGCAACAGTATTCGTGATAGATCTGCTGACGATGACAAGGGAAATGAAATAATTGAAGATGAAAATGATGAATTAAGTAGACATATAGCTTTAAACGAGTCAAATGAGAATAACACAAATGAGAGAATCAAACAGATTTGTGTAATCGGAAATAAGGGCGACAACAATGGTAGTACCATTACGGATTTTATAATGGATATTGATAATGGAATGGAGGTTAAGGTACGTGAAAAACAATCTATTGATCATGGTAATACTATTCCATCATCATCGTCCTCGACATCAAATGAGAACAATAATGAAATTATTATGAATTATAAAACGGGAAAGAAGCGAGATAATGAAATGACTGCGAGAAATGAGCAAAACAATGAAGACGAACGAAAACTCCTTAATGTCACTTGTAAGCGTAGTACAAATCCTTTTTTAAATGAAGAAGCTATTTCTGAACAAGTAGAAGAGATTTCAAAAACAACAGCATCCGGAATGTCTGATTTTGAAAAAATAATAGACAGTACACCATCTAATAATGAGAATGAAGAAGCTGATTATGATGATGTGGAGGAGAAACACGAGAATCATTCGAGTGAAAATGCTGAGAAAGCTACTTCAATCCATGCAGCTGAAAGCACATCGTTGAGTCATCATCCCCATGGCTCATCTATCTCATGGATTGAAGATTATCATGAAAATAACATGATCGATATTAATGCTGAAGAATTTGATTCTGATGAATTTTGTAACTCTGAGATATTTGGAACGCAAGATAATGGAAATAATGATGAAATAAAGAAGCAATCAAGATTAATGCATGTTAAGAATAAAAAGTCATCTGTAAATGGTGTGAATGATCGATCAGTAAAGAATCAAAGTCAATTGACAAATGATTTTATTGACCCGTCACTTAAAGCACAATCAACAATTAATATTACTGATCCTAATCTCATTATAAAAAGTGCCATACCTACATGTCCATTTCAACGTCAAGATTACCGTAGGCCTGGTGAAAGCGATAGCTCATTGCATGAAATGGTTGATGGACGAAAATGTGATAAAAAATTCGTTAAATTAACTAAAAAGTCAAACAATCTATTTCATATACCATCGTTCAGCAAGTCGAATGGAAAAGCGACGCCATCCCTTAAGCATGTAAATTTGCATTATCCTAATAAAACGTATACCAGCTCATCCGTACTTGATGCAGCAACGGATAAAAAATATTTTGAAAAATTCCACACGAAAGCGAAATATCAGCTAATCAAATTAGGTCAAAAATGTAAAATTCTAACCCATCATCCATCATCAACATCCACACTTCCGTTGAGAACAGGAAATGTTCGTACAACAATTATTAAAACGAACACAAATCATAAAAAGAAATATCAATATTACAACGAAATCAATAAATCATATCAATTGGACGATTTTATACGCGCAACTCATTTGCTCAATGATGCTTCATCAAGAGTAAATAACAATAATAATAATATCATCGGAAATGATTTGAATCATCATGAACAATTCTTTGACGATATGATAGAATATGAGACTGACGGACGACAAAATTTGAATAATGATAATTGCAATAGCGTAATTTACAAAAGCTATAAATCTGAAATTGATTTGACACGCAATTTAACATATCTCGATGCTTTTCTTAATGAGCACTTTGAGCGTGATACATCGATGTCAATTAGAGCATCAGGAGGAGACCAACAACAATCGAACGACGTAATAAAAAATAATTCACGAAGAAGGCAACAACACAAAAGAGTCAAGTCGTGTACAAAAAATATCAATTATTTACCAAACGCCATTCAAATTGAACAAATGCACCAGTTTCAGCAAGCGATGATTAATGACATGAATTTTGATGGCATTGATGAATCTATTGACGATGATTTTGGAGGACAGCACCATCCAGTGTGTGATGGTAATGTTACAAGTAGCTCATTTGAATATACAACAGCAACTGGATTAGAAAAGAAAATTCAATCGGATAGGAGAAAAGAAATGCAAGAAATAATTAGTGGTAAAAGTAATACGACTTCAAGTTCCTTGAGCAGTAGTGATTATGCATCTGTTTATAGTAGCGGAAGTAAGGAGGGAAAGACTCAATCAAATTCAGATGCAAAAACTAAATTAATATCCACGCCCGAGGAATCGATTGAATATTACGATATGAATTTAGTAAAGCACAAGCAGAAAAGAATGAGAAATGGACGAAGATCTTCTCAGCCGATTCCAGAGCAAACAAATGCTTATCATGAAAATGAGGCGGATCATTTCCTATTGTTTGATGAATCTAACTTTATAGAGTTAAAAAATAACATGAAAAAATTCCATCCAGATTTATATAATTCCGTTCCACAGTTTGAAGACTTGAATAGCATTGATTTTTTGGAAGGCTCACAGTATGATCAGTCGCAACAATACGACGATAGTGAGACAATAATTAATCCGTATGCAACTGAGGCAATGCCAATTACAAACAAAAGCCAATTATCCTCATCATATGATGACAGAAACATTCATCATCGAGACTATTTAGAGCATTATCAGCAGCAGTTGCTTTGTCATGATGTTGAAAATGTTGAGACAAATGAGTACGGAATGAAAAATGCTTTCTACCTTCCACCACCATCATCATTGTCATCATCTCATCAACATCATCACAAAATTCGTCCCAGAACTTTAACTGCGTCATCTTGTACGAATCAAAATCACAATGAGACAACACGTGACGGATATCACAATCCGACCAGTTCAACTAATGACCTTAGATATGATGGACGAAAATTCACACAAAAAGCACATTCTCAATCCATATCATCGTCATCGTTTGGTCATCCACATCGTGTCATTGTCTCAAAATCAAAGAAACAAAAGGGTGAAGTCGTTTTGGAATATGAATGTTAACATTATGAGCACTTTTCATTCACACCTGGTGCTTAGAATTGACTCAATAAAAAAATCATATAACAGAAAGATGAACGGAAGTGGAGATAAGAGAGAGAAAGAGACACATGTCATTTGATTTCAGATCGATTTTATGTCTCAATATCATTCGAATGGAAAAAAAAAACTTGATTGTTCGAAATTTGTTTTATTATACATATACATACATACTCACTTTTTGGAGATGAAGAACTCATATCAGATTCTATAAGATTACGTATGTAGATTATATAGATATATCTCTTTTATCCCGTGCCGTAAAAAAGACGGACCAGATGTGAATATACATAAAATACACTTGGAGACAATAACTATTTGTAAAATTCGTTTTAGTAATAATAACAGGATATAACTTTTACGTAAAGGAAAATTCAACGAAATTGAGCAGCATCGAGACAAAGGAAACGACAAAACTTTAATTCGGTGAAGCTCGAATAATTTTTGTGAGAATTTAAGCTTTTTTATTAAATGACCATCTTTGAAGCTAAATGATATAAATTTTGAATAGCACATTTAAATCCAATGTATGTTGAATTTACTGGATATTTAAGATCGATATGATTATTAAGCTACTAGGATGGAAATTATTATGTTTGAAATTTTCAATCATTTTCGCATTTAATGACGATAAACGATGCATTTTGAGCTTCCAAGAACTGAACCTTAACGATATATTTACACGAATGAAATTCGTTTCAGTTAATAACAAGTACTAAATTTGCGGTGTTAATTGTAAATACCATAAAACCACTTTTATAATCTAATTTTTTTCTGAAAAATATTTTTAATAATAATTTTATTATTATCTACTATGGCCACTTATTATTATTTTAAGCTAATATGATTATTATTATGATAACATTCCTATCTATGCAATAGTTCACATGAAGAGTTAAAGTGATTAACATTTAAAATTGCATAAATGTGTGAAACCAAAAAAAGATATTAATTTTAAATGAAAATGAGTTTTCGTAATAAAGAAAGCGTAATTGCTTTTTAAAAGCTCTCTCGTGCAAAAATTAAAATTCTCGAAAGCTCATTTTCACAAATTATTTTTAATAAAACTAAAGCTATTTAAAAATGGATTTAAAAAATTAACAATTTAAAAAAAAATATTCACAATTTTTGTGTCTCTTCAAAAGAGACTAGAAATTGTTTTTAACCAAATTGGACATCATTAGTTGATAACTTATAATTAATATTAATATTATTTTTACTGTAGAGATTCTTTATTGTACTCAATATCATTTCCG